AATGTGGTATCATGTTTTAAATGTTTGCGATGTGACGAGGAGCACTGCAAAGGTAGTTTGAAATGTGCGCATTGCTTAGGGAGTCAGGATAAAAAGAGACTGCGAATAAACAGACTCCTTGGTTTAATGCCTGCACTGTAAAAGTTCCTGTTCATATTTCGCTCAAACAGAATACCCGGATATAAAATTAAAATTGTGATGGCAGCCCAAAATCTATCCTACAATGATGCGATTTAGGTTGTCAATAAAAATCTACGCAAAAGCTACCATAGCCCCATCGGCGAAAGACACCTCAGCGTTCCCCATTCTTTCTCCCCAACCACGTTTAGTTTGAATATGCCTAATAAGACGCCTCAAGAGAGAGAAAGTACTTCTCCCCCTGGGAAAGGTATGTCCCAAATCTAAAAATGGCTTTACAATCCTCTGATTCCTACTCCAAAAAAAAAAATACCCCAAGAGGATTAATTGTTCAAAAACCCTATCGTCCCAATGAAAGGTTGATAAGAAGAATTTAAATTTTTTGATTATATCGGAATCGGAATTCTGTGTAATCAATTTAAGTAGAAAAAAGGAAAGTGACTATATGTTTGTGCCCTCCAATTTGCAAAATATCATTCAAAACAGCCTAATGAGACTTTTTTCAAATTAAAGGGGGCTCATGTCCAAATTGGTTCATAGTGAACGGGTATGCATAGATATTCGTAAAATAGATATTTGTATGTGCGTTTAGAAACACAATGGTATGTAAATATCAGTGTGCATGCATATATGCCTGCGAGCATGTTCGAATAGGTACGTCTGTGTATAACCGTGTATATTTGTATGAATCCTTCTTCGTTTACAGCTGATCAAAATTATTTTGAAGGATATTTGTGTTTTCAGTGAGCAAGGCTAAGAATGTAAATCTATAGGTCGTACAATGGAACTCTTGATCAATCATGCAAAAAAAAAAAAATCTTGACGCCTTAATAGACAAGAGAAGGATTAATTTGGTTCTTTTATCTGAAACTTGGTTAAGTCCTTCTGTCTCGTTCAATTCAGGAGTTTCTATTTTCATAGGAACGAAAGAGAAACGGCGGGTAAACATGCGTAGGAGTTTTAGTGAGAAATCACTTTCATTCCCTAAATTTCAAAATCAGCCATACTTAACTTAATAATTTTATGGTTGGTATCCAAATCGGCAAAGGCAGCTCGGCCCCACAAACAATTGTTTGTGGCTTTATCCCCCCCCCATCAGAAAACGTATCTCGACTGGAATGGAACCAATTCTTCCATGCATGTAGTATTGCTTTTCCATGCTTAAATTCCTGAACTGGAATGATAAGAAAGTGAACAGGGGAGTACCTACTACAAGCGATTGAAGAGAATAATGTTATTATCGCCAACGACAGATCTTATACTAGGGTAATGACGCCAATGACCCTTCTTAGAAATTCTGCAGTTGACATTACGTTTGTATCATATGACATGTCTCTAGTCAAAACAAGCGAAGTACTCCATGATCCTTGGGCTCGGACCATCCCCCCATTGTCTCTTTTGCCATCTTGTACTTCAGGCCCTCCTAACGTGCGTTTTCGTAAATGGAAAACAGAATAGGCAAAATAAAGAAACTACAAGGCTTTGTGAGAAAGATTGCCCAAATCTTGATGATAATTGAATAAGTAATGAATGGTTGTCGAGGTTATATCGGACATTACTAAGAAAATTATTCCCATAAAAAAAACCAGGGTACCCACAAAGTAGATCTCTGAAGAAGATGTGTTGGAACTCTGAGTGTGAGTTAATTATTAAAAAACGTACTTTGGCTATAGGGTTATTCGTTCATTTGAGAACTATGAAGCATTTAAGGCTCTCCAAAAGGAATTTAGTAGGAATAAGAAGGAATCTAAAAGAATAATTTGGACGGTAAAATCAAGTTCGTGGAAAAACTACTGCTCCTCCCTAAATAGAACTACTCCAATAAAAGCTATATGGAGTATGCAGAAGGCCTAAAGACTGGAAAATGCTGTCACCAAGCTCCTCTGGTCTGTGGTAAATGGAAAAATTTGTTCCCTCCCCCTTAGAACTAGCTAATTCTAACAGGCCCCTTTACGATGACGGGGTTACAAGGAACCTTAAAAAGAGCGAATGACTCTTCTCCAGAACTAGACCATATACATATAGCACGATTTTCAGTAGTATTCCGCTAAGAAACTATGTTACGAACATTTAACATGTTGATTTTAAACAATTATACCAGATAGCTGGAAGGACACTGCTCTTATTCTGATTAAAAAACAGGGTAAACCATCAGTTGATCATAAATCGTACCGTCCCATTTCTTTGTTGTTTTGCACGCTTAAATCCTATGAACGGATAATAAAAACGCCATTCGAATGTTGGTTGGAATCAAACCTCAAACAGCCTGAGACACAATTCGCGTTTAGAAGGAACAATGTCAGCTGTCCCTGATTGGTGATATATACACCAGTTTTTTCATAAATCAGTGCGTATTTGGATTCCTCCTGGACATAAGCGGTGCCTAAAACAATCTGGATTTATACATAGTAGGGACAAAATTGCTGGTCTTCCTAACGTTTTTGTACAAAACATAATTGCTGTAATAGCGGACCGTAAAATTTAGATATACAAACAGAGGTCCATATGGGACATACAAAGGAATTCCACAGGGAGGAAGTCTAAGCTCTATGTTGTACGCTGTATATGTTGCCGATCTAATGGGTATAATCCCTGATCATATTCTAACAGTTCAGTACACTGATGACATTTGCCTTTACGCGAAGGGGGAACTATCACAGAATGTAGCTATAAATTGGCACAATTTATGCCAGAACTTAAAAAAATGAATGAGGTTGAATGGTCCAAATATTTCAGGAACAAGGGGTTCTAATCCCCACGACACAACATTTTAAAGTTTTTTTTGTGCTGAAAACATTGGTGAATCGGATTTTAAATTGGCCAAAAAATGACAAAGTTATAGCAAAACGTTTGTCAAGATAGACTTCACCGGTAAAGATGTCACTTTGTGTTGGGCTAGAGGGCACGCTCGCATTCGCGAGAACGAGTTGGTTGATACTAGAAGCAAAGAATACGGTAGTTAACGGAAAACTTAGCGTTTACATAATCACGAAAAGTGATAGCAAACGGACTCTTAATAAGAGATAGCTCTGGTACTAACAGACCGTGGTTTCAAGGTTACAGCGCTTCCCGGCAGGTTTATTCAATAATTACGTGAATGAGAACAAATCACGGTTTGTGGGGTGCACATAAATATAGAATAGGGTTAAGAGATACTCCGAATCGCGCGATTTATGATTGCATAGAGGATCTGAGTCATATTGTAATCGAATGTTCGGAATACGAAGGAGAAAGACAAGCTCTTTTTGATCGGATTCAGACTTCGAACGGAGTAGAAAGTCCTTTTAGTTTGGAATCCCTGGTTCCGATGTGTAGGGGTGACATCTGCTATCTTCTTTATCGATTTATAAAAGATTGCCACAATGATGTGTGAACTGAATCTGCAGTGTGAGGTTTGCCGGGTTGGCTTTGTGTCGGGGCTGCGGTGACTGGGTTTGGCAGGTGCGATTGGGGGGAGGGGAGAGGGCGTATTAGCCCCAGCTATCTTGAGGACGTGGACGGTTGTTCCATGATATCGGGATGTAAATGATTTTTATCCAGGTCCTCCAACTGAGGAGACTGTCGGGAAAAATGATCTAGAAAGAAAAGGAGTTTCTCTCCCTTCCATCCCTGTAGGCTGGGGGCCGTCAGGGTTGGGTACCTGCCTTCAGGCTTTGGTCCTCCTGCCGTGCTTGGCGGGGATATTCTTATCACTAAGGCGTGAGTAAAATGAAATCATAACCCCCCCCCAAAAAAAAAAGCCACAACACTTTTGTCAAGATTTCGAGGAATATTTCCCCCGTAATCAGAACTACCGTAATCAGAACTACCCATCATATTGTAAATATGAACATCTATTTGCAATATGGACACTTATGGTCAAGGTATTAATGCAAATCACAGTGGAACGAGACAACTGCTGTCCTAACTCTTACTAGAAGACCCTATATCGAAAAGGATGACTATTTTTAAGACGACCGAATTAGAATACTTTTTACTATCCATCAGGTCTTTTCTGACTACTGAAGGATAATATAATATAGGATATATCTTTCAGAAAATCTCCCGGATTCGACTTCATAATATCGAATTTACCTAAATTCATTCCCCTAAAAGCTCTATTCTACCTAACAATTTCTACACCAAACAAAACCCTTTATTTTACCTACATCCTATTTTCCCGTCTGTTTATTATTCGTTCCTGGCAACATTCGTAAGGAACTCCTCCTTAAACGTCATTATCCTGGTCTAGAATTCAGCACATAATCCCAGAAAAGGTCGGTATAACAGCACCGTGTTGTAGACGTCATCGCCTCGTCCCTATGCTTAATTTTGATTGGAAACTGCCGACTCCATTGGTTTATTGTATAGATTCGGAACTGGGGAACATATCTTCAGTCAGTGGGTATGTCTATGCAATCTTATATTCCTACTCCTTGCAAAATCCAAAGCCTGAAGAAATTCACAGGACTGAAAAACTTTGGGATTTGATGAAAAATCTTAAGCTTAACGAAGAGTTCTATATAATATGAAAATATAATGGAGATGTCTCAATTGGACGACTCCTCTTAACCTTAACACTTGAGATCAAGGAACGATGGAATATACTTAGACGTCGTGCAAGCATTGGATAAAGTATATCACAATGGAATACAATTTAAACGTACGTTCGTCCTTCCCCAATACCTACTATCTTCTCCTCAAATCCTAACCTTCCAACATACATTTTCACATTTCGAGGGCTCTCCCATCCTCCAAGTTAACGCTGGTGTCCCCCAAAGTACTTAGTATCTTAGGTCTTATCCTCTACACAATTTAGACCCATGATATCTCAGCACAATTACATGTGAACTTCTGTGCTATTACAAAAATTATCTACTTACCTCATTGACACCTTTCACTATGGCTCTCATCGTAGCATTTCTCGGCCCGTCGACAGTTTTTCCATCATCTGTAGGACCCCAAGATGCGGAGTAAATGTCGATCATGTTTGGCTCATGCCCCATGGAATTCGCCTCTATCAAGTCGGTCATGTACGGCTGGTCCAACATTCTGATGCCTGCAGAAAAGAAACAAGCGTTACGGCAAGAAAGAGACATCGATACTAGAATTCAAGGGAAATTTTTCTATTGGATCGACATTTTGACCTCAGCCGCCTACCCTTTTCTTGAATTATATTATTTATTAAAAACACATTATAAAAGCTAAATATGCTCTTTGGAACCTGTAATATTTGAGATTTTACCTTAATCAGTGATATTTGGGTATAGTGTAGGGGCTAAAATGTTGCAGTTTGCAGTTTTTTCTTTATTGTGGGAACTGCTTTGTTCACTACTAGTTCAAAGTTAAGATGTTAGTTACTGCAACCAGATGCAACTACGTTATATGTCCTTTTGGGGTCCAGGCCCCGGATTATAGTTTAGAAAATCCCTTTTAAAAAACATTTAAATATTACAGTACATACATTACATAGTAGTATATTATATTTATTTTTTGGTAGAAGGGTTTGATAAAGAGTTTTCGCTGTTTCTTCTTCTTCCAAGCAATGTCTGCTCTGTCTCTTTTATGCTGCTCCGAGTCTATACAATTTACTTCCAGAATTTGCAGTGCCCACTTAGCAGTCCTACTATCCTTCTTGTCCTTAAGTCCTAGGTTTAGTAGTTCTGCCGTTAGTTTCTACTATGGTACTTTAATGAACTTTTCACCGCAGAAGGCTCAGGGCCGATAGTTCATCGAACTTTCCTGCCTCGTCGTTGCCCCTCTGCTATGTATGACATATTACCCAACCCAAACAATGATATTTTTGTAGTCGGATCATGGCTTTGGACTTTACTACCGATGAGACTCTTTAACATCCCATAAGCCTCCATGGTCCCTTTTTGTGGAAAAAATCCGTGTTAATTTCACGATAGATGATGCTTGGTAATCATGTTGTGGAATTACATTGTTCTTCTAATACTTTTCCCACGATAGGCAGCATGCTTATTGCGCGATATTTGGACGAGTCGTTGTAATTCTTTTTTCTTAGTTTTTTATCAATAGTTTAATATTTGCATGTTTTCCTATTTTCAGGAAGCATAGCCTTCGTAAGGAATTCCATGTAAACTACAGATATTGATCTTGTTGACATTATTTGACTTGAATTATTGCAACTCTAATAAATCCATCGATTCCAGGTACTTCGTTGGTTTGAAGAGAACATTCCTTCTCGTACTTCCTCCGAAGTAAAGGGGAGAAAGTAGGAAGGATTCGTCTTTATTTTTTGCTACTTCGTGTTTTATAGTTTTATGAATTTCTTTACTACTAGATGAGGTAGTTACATTTAATGCCTCCTGGCTGTATGAGTAGATGCCCATTCCATTCTTAGTACTACCCAGCCTTTTGATCTCCTTGGCGCAGTGCTTAATAGTCTCTGACTTTGCTTGAAAACAGTGGCATATTGGGCAAGGATTATATGGCTAGTCCTAGGATAAATTCCACAGAGACCATCTTAGAACCATAGGTATACCAGATATAGTCGGCATTACTAGTATCCCTTTCTTCAGTCTGCTGTATCGGGCGTTTAATTTGAAATGTCTTATCATATCTGAATTTTAGGATTAAGGCGTTAGCAGGCATCTCCAAAACCCTAATTGCCTGAAGTTCCTCCAGAAACTTTAATGGCTCTTTTCTATGCGAGACAGCATTTTGGATTCGGAACGTTCAGGGCCGGTAGCTGTCTTTATTGAACTTTCCTGATTCCCCGTTGCCTCTCTGCTAAACACACCATAGTACCCAAACAATTTGGTAACCCAAACGGCTCTGAACTTTATTACTGATTAGGTAGAATGCTGGTTTTGTTTATAATACGTTTGATTTCATTTGTACAGTGTTCTATAGCCTCGACCTAGAAGACAATCGCATATTGCTTCAACTGGCATCCCTACAACGTTGTCTGCCTGAAGTCCCAAGGAAGCTTTAATTGCTTCTTTTTATGCGATTCGACTATTGGATCCTCTCCCAGCATTAGCCTGTGAATTGTGGCTTTAGGCTCTCCCAGGATGAAGATGAAGTGGCGGAAGAGTCACGAGGACGGCCTCGGCCGTTCTCATAGCACCAGTAATGCCCAGATACCAAGCTAGTCTCTTAACAGTGCTGAGGATTCTGACTGTATCCTGCTATAAATTCGTCCATCAAACCACCGATCCGTAGGTTAGCTTGGTTATAATAACTGCTGTCTTTGGATTTAACCCCCTGCTTTTCTTGCAAAGTTGTTTACAACTGCCTATTGCGATTTTCGCTCTTGGTATAATTAGTTTCTGATTCCGAAAAAGACTTTGATCTAGTGATTTCGAATTGCATTAGAACTTAACATTACCTACCCAATGTATATTCAGTTTTACATTACACAGTGTTCTAGATAAATAAATCTGCGTGCTGATTACGGTGACAATCATTTTCTTCCGAAGAAAAATTGCCTAATTGGAAACAATACAGAGGTTCAAAGATTGCATAAGTTGTGTGTCGATAACAGCGGTGAAGGCGATATCTATGATGGGAATGTTCCCCATTTATTACTAACTACAGCTTGGACGGAGTCCAAGTACCAGCAGTGGTCGTTCAGCAGCTGAGCGTACAATAAAGACCATGGCGACTTTTTCACTCACATTTCACACACAGAAATCACACATCCTTCATTCACACACACAGGCGCGAGCGCAGAGAAGAAAATTTGAAACTATCTCCGGGATCTCGAGGAATGGAATTAAAACCCACAATAAATTTCAGATATTGTCAGAGGAAACGAACGACACAACTAATTTCCCCACCTGCTGGGATTAACCTAACCCTCTCTCTGATAGAAATGCTACCAAGAAAAAATGGACATGCCATCGATAGCAATTTGGAAGGGATGCCGGGAAGCGGGGCTTGTATTCCCCAGGCACTGCAGCCTTCTGGCTTATTGTACCTTGATAGCAATTTACTCTTAGTTCAAAAATCACACTAAATCTGTGAGGTTAATTACATCCAAACGCACAGTAAAAATAGCGTTTAACCTTAAAACAGACAGGGTGCTTGTGATCACGCAAAACCTCCCTTTTTCTCATTTTTCAAAGAATATATTAGTTTAAGCATGTATTGAATTCCGTACTTATACACCTAAATTGAACGAAAATGATTGTACACTTGCCTTCAGCTTTACCCCTGAAGAGATCAAGAAAGATCTTTCTAGACAGGGCTTTTTAACCGACAAAGTGGAGCAGTTCACCGGAAAAGACAATAAATCCGCAGAAAGATGCCTGTTTTCGGGGTAACATTCGCAAAAGGAATGTTACAAAGAAACACTAACCATCAGAGCTGTTGCCTATTATAGTGTCTCCGGGCAAAAATACAAGAGACCTAGTAATCAGGTGCTATCGTTGGCAAAGCCTATGGCACTTAGCTGTACACTGCCATCGCAATCCAAAGCGTGAGACATGTGCTAACAATCACGAAACCAAGGACTATCCTAATAAAGAGGCACAGGCCCAATTAACATGTGCGAACTACGGAGGAGGTCATAAGGCATCCGACATTGAATTTCCCATTCTAATCCCAGCTGCAGCAAAGAAAATATACCGTCACCAAACTTTATCGCCTGTGCCTAAAATGGTGGATAGAAGGTATTTTCCGCCTTATATACTCACAATGCTTCCCGAGACTCTGTGAATGTTTCTAACAGCGAAGAATATTGACCAACTGATGAAGATTCGCAATATCATCCATTTTCAAGCTTTTTAAAAGTTCCTTTTTTATTAAAAACATAATATCAAAAAGTAAAACCACGCTACTGAAATTAAACATTGCCTCAGATGCTATCTCAAAACTGGCCGTAATCAAAGAAGCAATCCGTTCTTTTTTAATGATTCCACCCCATCGAGGTGTATTTCAATGGAATGCAAACTCTATTAAAGATAAAATTGATGGACTCATTAGTTAACTAGCAATTGAAATTCCTGGTTATAAAATGTACAAACAAAACCGGGACTCGAAGGTGGAGGTGTGGCAGTTGCCGTCAATAGCGCCATTCAGCATGCATTATAGCACTCCCTAGCCTCAGCTCTAACGTGGCGGTCATGCTACAGACCTCCGAATAGAAGATGGCATACCTCAGTTATGCTGGAATTGCTCGCATTGCATAACAAAGTCATCTTGATGGGTGATTTCAATGCCAGACATGTTGCATGGAATTGTCTGTCCAATAACTCCGCTGGGGAACGCGTGCTGGAATTGTCAATTGCCAGCAATATTATCCTCAACACTCCACTTTTGCCTACCCTATTCCATCCTTCCACCCGTAACAGCAGTGTTCACGTCCATCCTTAAAATATCGGTCACTTCTCTACCCCAACCAGCCACAGTATCTTATCTAGCAACCATAACCCTGCCTTCTTTAAATTATTCCTGTTTCTAGTTATATAGCTATGACGCTTGACTTCGGCAGGGCTAACTGGGCTAAGTTCAGACTCAATATAACAAAATGTATTAAGTAGCAATGTCTCTGGTATAAACCACAAGACCAATTCTCGATTGAAGAAGAATGTAAAAGGTTTAACAGTCTGTTAGTGTATACAGAACTCCTATCCATTCGTATGGGTTCCCACAATCATCATTTTACTCCTACAAAATATTACAATAATTATTCCGTTTAAAAACACAATAAAACATCCCTTCCAAAAACACAAGTGACTTGCTGTCAAATCGCTTTTAAAGGCCTATAAAAATAATCAAAAATCAAATTAAATTGCTTAAAAACAACAGAGTCCACTGTGAGAATCGTTAGTGATCGGACGGCTAAAATTTTCTCCTAAAAAATAATTTTCGGAATACAATCTAACACAAGGATTGTTTTGTGAGTTATTGCCTTAATTCTGGTGAATAATTGGTGCTTAAGGTTAAGCTTTACGTTGTTTACATTCAGCTGACGTGACGAGGGACCACGAGGACACACGTCAGGCAGTATGGTCTCTCGTCAGCTGACACTATGAGTGTACATTGCACACACTACACTGATGAGCGTAGTCCGTCAGTTGATGTTTT